TATATATATATATTACGCTGGCATTTGACTAAAGAATATTATTTTGCCAGTTCATAATGTTTGACATATTTATAGCATTTAATATTATTTCGATATTAATAATGTGAAAATGGTGATAAATAATAAATTACTCAATGATGATGCGGAAATTTCACTATAGTTATATCGTGTGTGAAAATTGATCTCGATTCCATCACGAATGCCGATTGCACAATGCAGCTGGCGGTGACATGTACAATTACATATTCATGCAGACACCAGCGTGTCATCAAGTATCATTTTGCATCTCCTTGTCTATAAAATCTATTGCACTGTTACGAGGCAGATGTGTTTTCCCATGGAAAATAATGTTTTATAATTATTTGAAATAAATTAATGCGTTAATTTATTTATCGTGACATTATTGGATATACTTGGTCGGCTGTGTTTGTGCGATTTGCCTTCGCAAACAACGAATAAAAATGTAATTTTCTTGGCTGCGGCAAAGATACAGTGAGAGCACTATTCGTGTCTTCTTTAAAGTTGAAGGCAAGTACGCCGTAAAATTTAGTTAGCCGAAGTCTCTGTGATCGTTTTTTTTTTTTTTTTTTTACGTTTGTGAATCTTTCAGCAGTTTCTGAGAACATTAGGGAAAACGACAACGATAACGCACGACTTCCGTTTCTTCCGTTTGCGAACGTCGTCGACCAAATAAAAAGCAACGAGGGTAGGCAAGGAAGGACGAGTTATTTTGCCATCGAAAGTTGGAGCTAAGATACACTATAAACAACGTAACTTTGTACATGCAATCCGAAAGAATTTCATATTGGCATAACTGCTGCGCTGAAAATTCAACATTTTCGCTGCTATACAATTTGTGATTCGCCTTAAATAAACTTTCACGATAAACATCCGCTATTTTGAATATCGGTGCGGTATTACATATATCGCACTTTATACTCCTTTTACATGAAATTAATTGCGCTTACTGTTTATCATATGACAGTTTTCATCATTTCCGTAAGTAAACGAATACTCAAAAAAAGAATAAAACTTATGAATCCGAAGCGATATTAATTTTTATGAGATTTTTCATATATTTCGCTTGTAATATATCTTTATCAAAGAAATTTTTAACAAAATTAGACAAATCTAATTTTATATTTTAAAATTATGAAATTCTGGATTTTGAGATTTTTTTACTTTTTATATCTCTAAATTATTAAAATATATTTTTAAGAATTTTTTTAATTCTTAAGTCGCGGGAATTGTTCGATTCTTAAAATCTGACTGTTATATCACGAAGTTCTTGATATCTAAAATTTTTCGATTTGCAAGATTTTTCAACTTCTATATAGATTTCGCCGTCAAGATCTATATAAGATCGTCGTCTTAAAATACGGAGAAAAACTTTCTAGTTTCTTTCGAAAGATGTAAAATACCGATAAAGAAAGCGACTGAAACTTGTTGAAATGGTAGTAGTATGAAATGAGATGGTAGAAGGAAATGATAATTTGTAGAGATTACGAAAGCGAGGCGGGATATTAACAAAAGAAATGTAAAGAAAAAGAAATCATTCTTTTTCTTTGCATTGTCCAACTTTGTCATTTTCTCGCGCAATGAGTAAGATTAAAAATCAGCATGGAATTATTCGCTTCTGTTTGCGTATGTAGGACCACAACCGTTGATTTTGAACTCTGCACAAAGCTAAAGAGAAGAATAAGTGATGGGTAAGGAACGGGGAGTACGAAGCGCTGCAAAACGTAAGAGTTCCGGCATGCCCGATAAGCGGCTTGGAGGAAACACGTCGACGAACCGAATCCTTTTCAACCCCCTTATTCTCCCCTTTTTATGTGCTACGAGCGCATCGATGCAGGTGCATCTACTCTGTCTAGATCGTTTATGTCTGGTAACGGGGAAGGTTGGCGCAAAATAAATCGTCTTTCTTTTGCACGTTCTCTCATTCGTAAAATCGTAAAACATGAAGTCGACGGCGAGATCGATTTTACAAATCCATTCCGCAAAAAGCTAGAAACGCGGGAGTCCCTACTGACTGTAGATCGAAATTTCCCATTGGGATAACTTTGAAAATTCGTGGAAGGGGAAAAGGGCTGTTTTCTGATAGATCTATAAAGATTGTCGATGATGAGAATCGATAGGAGTGTCAGCAAAAGTAGAGCAGATTGATTGAAAAATAACGCAACGAAATAACTTTAATAGAATGTGATAGGAAAAAGTATTTTGTGCCAAATAAGACTTTCACGAAAAGTAATTTATAATAAGCTGTTCAAAATATAAGAATTTCTATTAGAGATTTAGTATTAATAATATTTATTTACTCTCTCTCTCTCTCTCTCTCTCTCTCTCTCTCTCTCTCTCTCTCTCTCTCTCTTGTAATCGTATTTTTTTTCGCTTTTATCTTTTTAGCTAATTGAAAGAAATGTTGGAAATAATTTGTTTGAAATCTCGTGATTTTTATGTAAAGTTGCTGAATACAAGAGATTTGGCATAAAATTCCTCCTGGCATAATTCCCGTTTTTGCCTTCAAGTCGAAACGTGTCCTACAGAAAATAATTCACGTACCAAAATTCGCAAGGATAATAAAATTCTGCTAGCGGGTGGAACTCCAATCTCACCACTCTGGCATATATATTCTTGACTCAGCATTTTTTTTCAGCACCGCAACGTGTTTTCGCCTAGCCAAGCGGCGTAAATACATCCGAATTAACCACTAATGCATTTTTTACCTGCCATGCGTTTGTTAAACGTCTCGTTCTGATTCTGTCAAATAAATTCGGACCCATTTTTCGGATTCTAGTTTCGAATATTAGTTGGTCTTGCGTGAGCAAGCTCTCACGAGATTATATTGATTCGAAGCTCAAATTACATTCATTTCGGTAGTAGAATTCGAGAGAATACAATGCCACTTTGTCATCATTGGATAAATGTGATCATGATTTTATTAAGTTTATTACAGTTCGTAATTTATTACGAAGTATCGGCTTAAATTACATATAAAATGAAATCATCAACATTAACAAGCTAGTTAATTAGTGCTGCTGAAAATGGAATTCTAATTCTCATCAACTATTATGTCGAATACGTATTTTACAAACATTCTCTCAATTTAATACAAACTTTATATATATATATATATATATATATATATATATATATAAATTTATATAGGGAATATATATAATATCTATGAATATCCTATATGTATGTACACTATCATTTATTACAAAACATATTAACTCTATGAATCTGTACCATTTGGTACTGTATATGGAACAACATTGTGGTTTAAATCTATCCTAGTTCACGATATGGTATAATACATTCCACGCTGGTTGTTGCGCGATGGCACGTTAATGAATGCGCTTCGGTTGACGTAATCAGCAACGTAATTGCAAATCCGACGAGAGAGTGAAAATGATAATTGGCCGGCAAAGATTTGCCAGGAAACAGTGGTATCAACAACCGGAGCTATAACGGAACACGATAAACAATGTATCCAGTCAAATATCGATATTCTCGGTATGTATTTCGTGTTCCATTATCATTATTGACGATGATAAAGGTCGATGTTTTTTTACCAGAAAGTAGGTAGGCAAATGTTAAACCGTTTCTAATTCTAATCATAGAATTGGTACAATTTGATATTTTTAAATTAAACTTGAGAAAATTGATCATTCTCTAAGTATATTATTAATATTCTCGGGATATCAATATTTTGTCTTGATACTAAAACACAATATTTTCTATTTATATACGTTGATACAATTGATATATATGAAAATATGTTTTATATAAACCTTAAACCATTCTTAATAGAATTGACTTAAATATATATATATAACTTGCTGCTATTTTTAAATTAATCATTCTCATTATTGTTAATATTCAAAAAATTAATATTTTGTTTTGTCACTTTTAATACTAAGACACAATATTTTTTATTGATTATTACGCATTGATGCAATAATGCAATTGGTATATATGAAAATATATTTACTACATATTATTTCCTCACACTTCAATGGTCATAACTTTTAATAAAATTCTGTATTGCATTATTGCATTATGTATTACATGTTAAGATCTTATATTAGTTATTCTGAAGTAGTAGGAAGCTTTGTGGATGTTTCATTCAGTAAAATAGCCGTGTCAGCAGCATCCTGTTAAATCGGTACGGTGAAAGGTATAAAGATATGAATAAAATAGTATAATCACATACAGAGATATATCTTTACTAAGGGAAGGTATATGTGCAAACAATATAGCGAGTGGTTATATACGGTGTTATTTACTTTCATATTTACATTGCCTTGCTTTAAAAGTGAGATACAAACAAACATCGTCATTTTTTAAAGAAAATGATAAAAATACTTCTTTCTTTAATAAA